CAGCGGCATGGTGGTGGTGATCTACATAGTTCAAGGCTTTAGTGTAGTCAATGAAACAGAAGTAGATGTTTTTCTGGAATTCTCTAGCTTTTTCTATGATCCAATGGCTGTTGGCAATTTGATTTCTGGTTTCTCTGCCTTTTCTAGATCCAGCTTGTACATTTGGAAGTTCTAAGTTCACATATTGTTGAAGTCTGGCTTGAAGGATTTTGAGAGTTACTTTGCTAGCATGTGAAATGATCGCAATTGTGTGGTAGTTTGAACATTCTTCGGCATTGCCTTTCTTTGGGATTGGAATGAAACTGACCTTTTCCAGTCCCGTGGCCATTACTGAGTTTTCCAAATTTGCTGGCATATTGAATGCAGAACTTTCACAGCATCATCTTTTAGGACTTTCAATAGTTTGCCGGAATTCCATCACTTCCACTAGCTTTGTTTGCAGTGATGCTTCCTAAGGCCCACTTGACTTTGCATTCCAGGATGTCTGGCTCTAGGTGAGTGATCATACCATTGTGGTTATCTAGGCCATTAAGATCGGTTTTGTATAGTTTTTCTGTGTAATCTTGCCATCTCTTCTTAATATCTTCTGCTTGTATTAGGTCCATACCATTTCTGTCCTTTAATGTGCCTATCTTTGCATGAAATGTTCCCTTGGTATCTCTAATTTTCTTGAAGAGATCTCTGGTCTTTCTCATTCTATTGTTTTCCTCTATTTCTTTGCACTGTTCACTTAAAAAGGCTTTCTCATCTCTCCTTGCTATTCTTTGGAACTTTGCATTCAGATGGATATATCTTTCCTTTTCTTCTTTGCCTTTTGCTTCTCTTCTTTTCTCAGCTATTTGTAAGGCCTCCTCAGACAACCATTTTGGCTTTTCGCATTGCTTTTTCTTGGGGATGATTTTGATCACTGCCTCCTGTACAATGTTACAAACCTCCGTCCATAGTTCTTCAGGCACTCTGTCTATCAGACCTAATCCCTTGAATCTATTTGTCACTTCCACTGTACCATCGTAAGGCATTTGATTTAGGTCATACCTGCATGGCCTAGTGGTTTTCCCTACTTTAAATCTGAACTTTGCAATAAGGAGTTCATGATCTGAGTCATAGTCAGCTCCTGGTCTTGTTTTTGCTGACTGTGTAGAGTTTCTCCATCTTTAGTTATAAAAATACAATCAATCTGATTCAGTATTGACTATCTGGTGATGTCCATGTGAAGAGTTGTCTCTTGTGTTGTTGGATGAAGGTATTTGCTATGACCAGTGTATTCTCTTGGCAAAACTCTTTTAGCCTTTGCCCTGCTTCATTTTGTACTCCAAGGCCAAACTTGCCTGTTACTCCAGGTGTCTCTTGACTTTCTACTTTTGCATCCAGTCTCCTATGGTGAAAAGGACATCCTTTTTTGGTGTTAGTTCTAGAAGGTCTTGTAGGTCTTCATAGAATGGTTCAACTTCAGATTCTTCAGCATTAGTGGTTGAGGCATACACTTGGATTACTGTGATATGGTCAAAAATCCAACAGTTAGAACCAGAACTGTTGTTAGAACAGTTAGAACATGGAACAACAGAGTGGTTCCAAATTGGGAAAGGAGTACATCAAGACTGTATATTGTCATCCTGCTTACTTAACTTGTAAGCAGAATACATCACGAGAAATGCTGGGCTGGATGAAGTATAAGCTGGAATCAAGATTGCAGGGAGAAGTATCAATAACCTCAGATATGCAGACGACACCACCCTTACGGCAGAGTGGCTTTCCCGGTGGCTCAGTTGGAAAAGAATCTGCCTGTAATGTGGGAGACCTGGGTTCAATCCCTGAGTTGGGAAGATCCCCTGGAGAAGGGGACAGCTACCCACTGCAGCATTCTGACCTGGAGAATTACAAAGAGTTGGACATGAGTGTGTGACTTTCACTTCACCTCACTTATGGTAGAAAGAGAAAAGGAATTAAAGAGCCTCTTGATGAAGGTAAAAGAGGCAACTGAAAAAACTGGCTTAAAACTCAACATTCAAAAAATGAAGATCATGGCATTGGGTCCCATCACTTCATGGCAAATGGGAGACAATGGAAACAGTGAAAGACTTTATTTTTGGGGGCTCCAAAATCACTGCAGATGGTGACCACAGCCATGAAATTAAAAGATGCTTGCTCCTTGGAAGAAAAGCTATGTACTCCAGGAGATGGTGAAGGACAGGGAAGCCTGGCTTGCTGCAGTCCATGGGGTCACAAAGAGTCAGACACAACTGAGCGACTCAACAACATGGTTGTGGTAAGGTGGGGGGAGGGCGGCCGCAGAGGAAACTTTCCATAGCCCTGTAATTAGATCTTGGTCTTATAGGGAGCCTATTCCTCTAGACAGTGAACTTCAGAGGTGTTTCTCAGTTTTTTTTCCTTCCCCCTTTGATGAGTGAGGTGATAAGAGGATCATGAAGCTGAGTGTTGCTCTTCTCCCACTTGGAAGTCTAGAACTGAAGTTAACTGGGCATTTCCCTTCCTCATCAGAGTCAGGTTGTTGTTGTTGTTTAGTCACTATGTTGTGTCTGACTCTTTTGTGATCCCATGGACTATAGCCTGCTAGTCTCCTCTGTTCATGGGATTTCCCAGGCAAGAACACTGGAGTGGGTGGCCATTTCCTTCCTCCAGGAGATCCTCCCAACTCAGAGATTGAACTTGTGTATCCTGCATTGGCAGGTGGATTCTCTACCACTGAGCCACCAGTGAGGTCCCAAGTAACTACTTTTAAATCAGTATTTTCCTTGGCAACTCTTTCTTGATCATGTTCTATTCGGAGCTTCAGTTAAAAAGAAGTCTCAGGGAGATGCAGTCTAAGCAATCTGCACATGGTAAGGTCTCAACTTTTAGTTCACTCAGTAAAGCTGGGATGGACCCAGAGGAAAATGGTTTTGTGTCTCATAGTAGGAGACTATAGACTTTCAAAAAAAACCTCTAGGGTTAACCTTCCTTTCCTTGTCTCATTCCTGAAAATTTTGATGGGGAAACCAATCCTGCATGTCAAATAAAATGAGAGGAATGTTTCTGAAATGTGTGAGCTCACAATTTTGAAATCAGTTGGAAGCTGTGCTACCTAAGTAGGTCTGGTTGCTCTGCAGACTGGGACTAGAGTCCTATAAAAGCGTGGAGACTGGCTGGTAAATCTGCCACAGTAAATTAATTTCCATTATTTAACAAACATTGGGTGAGTGCCACCTGGTGTGCAACACACTCTTTCAGCTCTGTTTCAAAGAAAGGACTTGGGGTTTTTGTCTGTCAATTTGTTTTTGAACCTTGCCCTCAACTCAGCATCAGCACACCTTAGAAATTCAGAGTACTTGATGGATGAGTTAATCTTAATCCCTCTCTATCTGGACAGACTGACTTTTCAAGAAAAGCTGGAATTGCTGGAGGCTGCATTCGCAGTCTCTGGGAGCAGACCCTGCAGATTTCAAGAGTGGGGAATGAATGTGAGCTTGGAAGGCTGACAGTACACGTGGAAGCCAGGAGTAGAGTTCTGAGCCCACATAGTCACAGCGTTATAAATTTGGCTTTTGAAGTCCTCCTTTCTGAACCATTTTGCATCACCATTGCACTGGTGAAGGCAATGGTTCTCTCAATAGGAAAAGGCAATCCAAGGATAGCCATACTTAGAAATGACTTCAGATCAGAAACCTTGGGTCTTGGAAGTCATTTTGGCAAAACTGTTTCCCACCTGAGTTTTAAAGCCTTGCCTACAACAGTCTTAAGTGGCAGAGCCCACTTAAATGCTGCAAAATATCTGCATTGCCGCGGTTGCCAATTTGGTCTTGCGGCCGAGCCCCCAAACCACTGTCTGGGTCTCAGCCCACGATTTCTGCTTCTAGACACCAGGATAGAAGGAGCCCGCGGTCCGCCATCCTGAATCCTTCCCTTGCACATCTTCCCCTTCCCGGCTCGGTGCCCAATCGCACTCGCCCGCTTCCGACTGGAAGCCCCTACCGCCGCAATCCTGCCAGAAGAGAGCTAGTTTCAGACACCTAGTTTCCCTGCCCCAAGATTTTATTCCCTTGCATCAGTGCCACCCCTGGGTTTAAGAAGCAGAAAATAGGAATAAGGGCATCTTGGAAGTTAGATGTCCTGAACCCTGAGAGCACCAACCTGTAGGGGAAGAGACGTGCTGCGAGGCAGGCGTGTCGAATGGAATGAGGCTTGACACTGAGGTCTGGGTGTAAACCTGTGGCTCGGTCACTCATGTCTCATTTCAGCTAGTATCAGTTCTCCCCGAGAAAAGAAGCTACCTGGGATCTGTGTTTTTCCCCCCCGCTCCGCAATGCCGCTGCAGTGCTTGCGGCGCTGGAGGGTCTCTACAGGCTGCGTGGATCATGTGCTGTGCACTCAGACCCAGCTATCCTGTGTACAGTGAGAAGCGTCTTTCTCTGCATTTTACCTGCTGAGGACAAGTCAGGACCTCGGACCTTCCAGGAAGGCTTAGAGCAGTCGCTCCAACAGGGAGATCCAGAAACCTGTTGAGCAGGGTGTAGGAGGGTCGAGGTGCTGGGCAATCGGGTTTTACAGAGCAGTTTATTCCAGAGAGTCATGGACGCAGGACGTATTCCTGCTGCTGTGCGCTGTGGGCTTCCTGCCGGACTGTGAGCACCACCTGGATGCCCCGGGGCACCGGTGTCATCTTGTGAGTGCCTGTGATGAGGGCGCGCGCACATGTCTGGAGTCAGTGCTGAGTTTGTGGGTGTGTAAGAGTAGACAGAAGCCAGCATGGGATTGCACGCCCGCAGGACTCTTCAGCACCATCAGGCTTGGCGGGCTTTCTAGCAGAGGGCTGAATTGCGGTAGATGAGGGTGCAGGGTCACTGGAACATCTTGGCAAACAGCAGCCGGAAGCAAGGGGCAGCTGGGCAAATGGTTGGGGAAGGAGAGTGAGCATTAGGTGATGAATGGTGGGGGAGGAGGCGTGGGGCTGGAAGTCGGCTTGGAAGCTGGGAGGCATCTAAGCCTTGCACTTCCCTGCTCAGGCTCAGCGGGGCATCCAGCCCCTCCTTACCCAATGAAGGACCACCCAGCCTGACTCCAGGTAGCTGCGGAGGGTGTTGATTGGGAAAGTGTATCGTGATCCCACGGAATCTTCTATGAACTTCCCTGGTAAGCTCTTCCAGATCCCTAACTGGGTGGAGAACAGGTACATGGTTAGTAATGGTAGCATTCCCTCAAGACTGGAATATGAGTCCCATTTCAGAGATAAGTATGTTGAGACTTGACTAGTTTCCAGCCCCCAATCCTACCACCTGGCAAACTTCTAGCCGGAGCAGAGTTGAAATCTGACAAAGGTCCTGGACTTCTATCCTTTCATCTCCACACGCCCTGCTCTGCTGTGCGCGCTTCCTGCTGCCTGAATCCGACACCCCGCTTGGGCACAGAATCATCACCTCTGCTGCGCATTAACCCTGAAATTCTCTTGGACGGGGGTCTATAGTCAAATCTAGGGGAGTCAGTGTTCTCTGTAATGCTGGATTCTATTCTACAGGATAGCACGGCTGGGGATGGAGTGGGACGCGTGCCTGTTCAAAACCGTTGAAAGCAAACAGGTAAAGTTAACTGTGACGTCAAATTGTCCTCAAATTCCAACTTACTTTTCCTGTGTTTTTCATTTGTCCTCACCAACCCCCCTCTGTGCCCCCCTCCCACCCCCGCGATCAATGACCTCAATGCAAATACAAGTGGGGTGGTACTTCTGGATGCTCCATGTTCTGGACGCAAGTGGTGACACAATCCTTCTGGGGCTCACATCCTTCCCCTCATTGGTTGCCCGGAGCTCCTGGAGTCCCCCTAGACCCACAGCAGCGGGAATAAAAGCAGCTGCTCATGCTGGGAGGATTCAGAGGCACTCAAGTGTCTCCACCACTTCTGCCAGAGTGCAGTCGCCTGCCGCCAAAGCTACTGCTGCTGCTCCTTCCTCTGCTCCCAGCCACCTGGTGCCGGCTGTCAGGTAAGCCCGGAGATTCCTGCTTAGCTGGGATTCTGTTTCTCTTTCTCCCCTTGCTTCCCTCTCTCTCTCCAGTACTTTTTCTTAGCGGATCTCTTCCTGTCTCAACGGCTCTGTCCACTCCTGTCCAAGTCTCTTCACACAAGCTGAGTTACTCTGCAAGACTCCTTCCACAGGTAACCCTGGATGGTCTCAGTTTGCAAACTCTCTTCTTCACTCTTTTCGTGCCTAGGAGGGCTCCAGTCTCTCCCGCGGCTCCTGTGCTTAGGTCAGTCTGGGATGCTGGAGCTTCCGGGTACTGCAGGCTGATCCTGATGCAGGAATAGCTTTGTGCGGCCAGTGCTGTCACGGGTCACATCTCATGCCTAGCAAACCGGGGGAAATGTGTTTGGAACCCAGGACAGTGCAGGCTGGTGGGAAACAGGCACAATGACTGAAGGGCAGACAGTCATTAAATGAAAGCCCCTGTTGTGGGTTCTGGGAACTTTTTCCCGCAGTTTCCGTCCTGGGTCCCAATTTGAGACTCTGCCAACTTGCTTCTTACAGGGTCCTCTTTGCAAAAGTGTGGAGTGACTGACTGGTAGAATTTAGTTCTTTACAGGTAGGGGGGAAAACCCAGCACTGGGACGACAGCTCTGAGTTGTACAAGGGGGAAAAGCTGTGGTGAGAGACCCAGTCTGTCTCCCAGGAGTCCTGGCCAACAGGTTGTATGTGAGAGTGTGTGGGGTGCTGGGGAGGGGGCTATCTTCAGAAATTTCCTCACCCAGTTCTTTTTCTAAACCAAGCATCCTACAGGCTTACTGGATCATCCAGAAGTCTACTTTGCCAAGGAGGTGAAGGGGAGTGAAATGACCAGCCTGAAGTCAGGATGCAAGGGAATTAGAGGCACAGCCAGGAGCAGAGCCCAGATTAGTGGGCTCAGGGAATTTGGACCTGCTACAGGTGGTGACATTATTCTTCCCTTACAGAGAGGTGTCATGGGATTCTGGAAGTTCCCCCCATTCTTGGTCCTCGGCATCCTGGTCTTGTACCAGGCAGGCATGTATCACGCAGCACCACTCAGGTAAGAAAGCCCTGCTAGGGTTCTCTCACCTCCCCTGGCCCCTAGTTCATAAAATTCTGTGTTCCCAGTTGTACCATGCTATATCTGGCTTTCATGGAGGGGTTGGTAATGTATGAATGTAAACTATATATAAATTTATCATTTTTGTTTTGTTTTGTTTTATTTTTTATTTTTTATTAGTTGGAGGCTAATTACTTTACAATATTGTAGTGGTTTTTGTCATACATTGACATGAATCAGCCATGGATATACATGTATTCCCCATCCCGATGCATGAGACAAGTGCTCGGACCTGGTGCACTGGGAAATTTATCATTTTTATGAGGCAAAGATATGTAGCACACAGTTTACAAATAGACATAAGACATATACATTACATTCTTATTGTAAATTTCATATAACTTATTTCTTTTTACCAAATATTTGTATTTTTAGGAAATCTATTTATTACTTTAACCATAATTTGAGAAATGGATTGCATCCTAATCTGCTAATTATTTTGCCAACAAATTTGTTATTTAGCTGTATGGGACCTATACATCTAATTTCTCACCTTCATTTAGAATACACTAAATGGAAACCATTTTCAGATTTAAACTACCATTATCATTTAATTTTTAATAATGGCTGTATTGAACTAAGTTCATAAAATTCCTGAAAATCTAACCATCAGTTTTCCCAAGCCCAGATAATCTACTAGAGGTTTGGAGGAAACCACTTCTTTGAGGTCACACCAGAGCCTACATTCTGGAAAAGCAGCATTTTTGGATGGATCACTGGCCTCTTGCCCTCTCCATTGAGAGATGGGGCAGTCACATCCTCAGGGGAAGTCACAGAAACCAGGAAACCTAGCTGCTTATCCTAGATGTGGGGGTGTTGGGCGGCGGGGCTCAGAGCTGGTGTTGGGCTTGCTTCCCCTCCCTAGGTCTGTCTCTGATGGTCGTTTTGATCCTGCTACCCTGGATGAGGAGGAATCACGCCTCCTACTGTCTGCGATGGTGAACGACTACGAGCAGATGAGGGCTCGGGAGTCGGAGAAGGCTCAGAAGACTGAGGGCTCCCGGTGAGATGCCCTGCCCCACCCAGCACAGGGCATCCTCTCCCTCCTGTCCTGCCCAGAAAGGCATATCCTGGAGCCACCTTTGGGTTTTCTGACACCCCTAAAAATGTCTATGGGGAGTGATTGTGGCCCTTTCTCCAATGGCCTGTGATATTCTGCTGTTATGACCATTTCTAGCAGAACTATTTAAGGTTTATTGGTGCCTCTCAGAGTAGTAATTTTTCATGATGATTCTGTGGGGCAGCACCTACTATCAGTAACAGGCCTTTCCTTTTTCTCTATCCTGAAAATCAGCATGCAGAAGAGAGCCTGCAACACTGCCACCTGCATGACCCATCGCCTGGCAGGCTGGCTGAGCAGATCTGGGAGTATGGTGAGGAGCAACTTGTTGCCGACCAAGATGGGTTTCAAGATCTTCAGTGGGCCCCGCAGGAACTACTGGTTTTAAGCAGTGAAATGATTCTCAGAATAAGGTGACTGCTCTTTGTACTATTAGATGGGAGGATAATTGACTGGGTACTTCAGGGTGCAGTCCACACTCTAACCCTTCATGGATTCATATGGGTGAAAAATCCACAGGGGAAGGAGCCCACACCAGTGTCTGGAGAAAGAACATAGAGTCCCAATAGCTGAAAACCCTAAAACTTGGGTTCATTTTTCTCTATTTTTTCAGTCTCTTCTTGTGACACTGAGATCCTCTGCCAGGAAATATTGATTGTGTTTATTTAAAACATGGTTCTCTGGATTATAACTGTGACTATTCTAGCATTTGAGTTTGAAAGGCAATTATTTTCTCCTTTTAGAGCATGCCCTACTATGTCACGTACATCTGAATTCAGAGTATAGACTTGGGTTCAATCTGTCTGTCTGTCCCCTACTAATCATATGATTATTGTCCTGACCCACTCTGAGCCTCAGCTTTCATCTAACTTGAATGTAACAACAGTATCATCAATATAAAACAATAATTGTGATAATACATGACAGGAGCCTCTTAACTAATAAGTAATATTTGTTACATTTTTCCCCCTCCTAGGTCACCAGGAAGTTGAACTCTACTTTTAGTTTGCATGAAGTCACCTTACAAAAAAAGAAAATAGCATGGAAATACCCATGTATGCATGCTTCTCGATATTGAAAACACTCTTCTTTCCCTTGAAATAAACTAAATGCAGAATAAAATAATTGCAGTTGTCTAGTGTGAATCTTTTTTTATATCAATGTATTTGATTCTGTATTCAATAAATATGACACATATCTCATTGGCTTATCTGGTAGCAAATCTGGGCCCTGTCAGCCAACCTGTCAGCTGATCTGCTAAACCTCAGGGGCACATGAGGTCACTGCCTTCTGGGTGTCTGGGGGTGCATAGTAATGCTGAGCCTCAGTGGAACTCTTTGTTTAAAGAAATGTTCTCATTTGTACACTTCATCAAGATAAAAAATATATTTTCAATACACTTAAAAGGAGTGATGCTGTTTTTCCCAAAGAACCTCAGAGACCTGTGAACAGTTTGTGAGCAGGCTGGCTCAACTGAAGCAATGATACCATGCTGGGGGGTATGCTCAGTGTCTAGTGATACACCCTTATTGGAATTAGAACACTCTACATCTCAAGGAGATAGTCACATTTATTTTCAGAGAGTGCCCTAGTCCCCTGCCCCAGGAGTTACCCGTTCTCTTCTTCTTGACTCAGGTTTGTCCTTACTCATCCCTGTCTTCCCTCCCAACAGCACCCCTTCATTCACTTCATAGCCTGGAAAGCCCTTAAGAATAAGGGCTCACAGTTCACAAGGGGATCACAGACTGACAGACCTGGAAAGACCATCAGATACCATCTAATCCAATTTTTTACTCGGAGATGCAGAGAAGAAAAGTGTGTTGCTCAAGGTCCTGCATTAAGTTTAACAGAGAGACATTCTTATATTTAACAAATAATCATTGGGTCTGTTATATGCTTAATACTATTTGAACTTCAGGAACAGAGCAATGAATGAAACAGACAAAACTCTTGCATTCACAGAGCTTATATTCTAACGGGGGCGGGGGAGATTTAGGTGAAACATGTCCTAGAATCAGAGATACTTAGTATCGGAAGGAATATGGGATGTCATAGAATGTAAAGGCTTATTCCATATAGAAATTTTACAGCATCAACATCCCTAGCATCTGTTGGAAATGCTGGTGACAAGCTGTTAACTATAACTTTCAAGGTTACTGGGGAAGCCAATTCTACTGGTGGGCAGTCAGTTAAGTGGGATTCTTTAGTTGGAAAAATCATCCCTTCTTACCGAATTGACTATTATTTCTTCAGAAGCACACAGAATTATGACTCTTGCTTCTATTCAGTCTGTACTCAGCTCAGTAGCCCAGCATTAGCTGCAAAGGTAGATCAGACCATGTCTCCCTTTGGTATAGCATACTCCACTGAGTCCCCGTCTCAGAGTAGAGACCTGGGACATTGCAATGGTTTACAAGGCTTAAGTTCATCTGCCCTTCCTCTCCCCTCACCAACAGTCTCACTACCACTTAGTCTCACTTCCTACTTCTCCCTCGCACTAGCCTTCTTATGACTCCTCATTTTATATCCATCAGCAACAATCCCCTCAAGTGTTTGCACCTGCTGGTACCTCGCTGCAGAATGCTCTTACCCCGTGGCCCTAACTCCTCCAGATATTTATTCAAATATCACCTATCCTGGCTATTTTTCTGATACTGTCCCTCACCTGCCAGCCCACCCTAACCCTCTTTGCCTCTTTCTTCTTACTTCTTTACTATTTATTACCTACTATCATAACATATATTTTATTTAGCTAACTTATATGTATACTCCATTCTTTGTAAACAATTTAAGTTCCACCTATGTAGGAATATGGCTATTTCATTAACTGCCGAATCTGATACTCACTGAACAGTATGCCTGGCACAAGGCAGCATTCAGTAAATATTTGTTAAATGAAAAGTTAAATCTTCTTGTCTTTTGTGTTTGTTGTCAACTCTCTGGTTCCCTTTCAGTCTGAGGTACTCATGATCTGACCCATATCATGTCTCTGCTCTCTTGTAAACTAACCCATTTCTTGTTTTACTCCCAACTTTCTCGGGGTTTTTGCACTTATTTATTTTGATGTTTTGCTTCAAATATTGTTCCCCAAAAGTCTGCATGCTTGATTCCCTCCCTTCCTTTAGGAACTCTGATGAATTATCTCAGAGAAGACTTTCCTGACCACCATACACAAAATTATACTCCTTCCTCATATTACTCTCTGCCACCTGATTATTCACCTTAATTTTTTTCAACTTAATAATTTTTTCATAGAACTTACCAGTAGCTACAATATAGTTATTATTTTTTATATTTTTTTATTTATTATTTTTGTTTTTGTCTATGTCATCCCACAGCGTGTAACACTCTGAAGAAAGTTACATGTATCCTTGGAGCTTAGAAAATTCTGTAGAACATTATAAACCCTCAATAAATATTTGTTGAAAGTGAAGTGAAAATCTCTCAGTCGTGTCCAACTCCTTGTGACCCCATGGACTATACAGTCCATGGAATTCTCCAGGCCAGGATACTGGAGTTGGTAGTCTTTCCCTTCTCCATGGGATCTTCCCAATTTCAGGGATCAAACCCAGGTCTCCCACATTGCAGGTGGATTCTTCACCAACTGAACCACGAGGGAGGCTGGAGAATACTGGAGTGGGTAGCCTATCCCTTTCTCCAGTAGATCTTCCCGACCCAGAAATTGAACCGGGGTCTCCTGCATTGCAAGCAGATTCTTTACTAACTGAACCATCAGGGAAGCCCTGATATTTGTTGAGCTTTTAAGTGAATTATAATGCTCTGATTTGTTCTCTGAGTTCATCTTTAACTATTGTCCTGTTTATGAGATGTAAAGATCTCATATTTAAAACAGTCTATAATTTTTGTTTTGATTTTCACTTTGAAAAGTAACATAGAAGAGTACTTTAAAATTTAAACTAGCATTCAAAACTATACTTCACTTATTTAGTTCCAGGTTTTACACTGAGGTTTGAGAAAGTATTGATAGATTTTATTAATTTTTGACTTTTGAAATTTACTAAAATTTTCAATTAGGTTTGTTATTTGACCCTTTCATGTAAATGATTAGGAGATTAAAAAGGATTAAAAGGAGCCCCTGAGGACAGGTCACCTCCATGCTATAGGAAAGTAAGCGAGGCTGTCTCATTTTCCAAGAATGAGAAGCCAAGAAAACCCCATGGATACAATACCTTTCTCATTTTTTGTCTAATCTAGAATTCACTGAGGTTGTGTCCTTGGTTCTAGGCTCTAATGGCACCAGGGAACCCTATATTAAAGCTCCATAAGTCTGTTGCCTAAATAATGGTCAAAATGTCTCTTGGGAGCAGAGACACATTAGAGAGTTTCTCCAAGCCCAGGTGGTAAAAAGTCCCTGGGCTCGTGCGCACCTTCCATGTGTTAACAATTCCCTTTTGCCTGCCCAACCTGCATGCATCATTAAATACTGGATAAAGTTTAAAAAAATGAAGGGGCTTTTTTCAGGTGGGCTTTAATCCAATCTTCACTTAATTAAAAGTCTTCTGTTAGTTATTGGCAAAGAAATCTAAGGCATGGAGCTCAACATTCAAGCACCAACTTCAGGATGCATCTTAATAACTCATCAGGGGCTTCCCAGGTGGCTTAGTGGTAAAGAATCTGCCTGCCAATGCAGGAGACGATCCCTGGGCTGGGAAGATGCCCTGGAAAAGGAAATGGCAACCCATTCCAGTATTCTTGCTGGGAAATATCATGCCCAGAAGAACCTGGAGGGCTACGGTACATAGCGTCGCCAAGAGTTGGACATGATTTAGTGGCTAAAGAATAACAACAATGACCTGTCAAGGCCTGGAGTTATGTCATGTAAAGCAGTCCGTTTCCCATCTCTCCTGGAGTGTCACCGAGCATGAACACCAGTTCGCTCAATAACTTCCCTTTCTCTGGAGCGCATATGAACAGGAACATTGAAGACCACAAACCGGAAGTTGCTAGAGGAGGGACATCTCATATGTGAGATTTCATGATTCCCAGACACAATTGTCTGGGGAGTGAACATAGTCAGGCGGTGAATTCAAGGGGGTGCCATTCCCAGCAGAAGAGGCACAGAGGATGGCCCCTGACACAAAGAGCGATCTCCTCGCCCCCACCCCGCACCCCATCAGGTTCACTCTCTTTTTAGACACTCTGTTACTTCCACTCTATTTAGCCACTTTCTGGCTCTGGCCCACCTGCCCTGGGAGACTTCCTCAGTGCTCCAGACCACAACAGCCTCTCTCTCTTAAAGCCCCAGCACTTACTGTCCCTGCCAATCAGCCCAGCATTTACTTAATGTGGTTAAGTAAAGAATTCCTCCACCCCTAGAAGTCCACATCCTAATCCTTGGAAATGCAAATGTGTTACTTTACATGGCAAAAGAGACTCTGAAGATGTGATTAAACTGAGGATTTTGAGATAGGGAGATTATCCCGGATTTATCCAGGTGAGTCCAATAGAATCACAAGGCTCCTTCCAAGTAGATGAGGGAAGCAGAAGAGGAAGCTGGGGTGAGGCAATAGGAGGACTCAACTTGCCAATACTGAAAACGGAGGAAGGGGCCCTTGAGCGAAGGAACGTGCTGGCCACTAGAAATGGGAAATGGAAAGGAAATGGGTTCTCCTCTCGAACCTCCAGAAAGGACCCAAGCCTGCCAAGATTTTAGCACATTGAGAGCCCTGTTGGACATGGGGCTTAGAGCCACAGAAGTGTAAGTTAAACTTGTATTGTTTAAGGTCCTTAAAGTAGTAATAATTTGCTATGGCAGCAATAGGAAAATAGTGCTTATTCTCTTTTATTGTTCTTGATTTTTATTTATTTTTAAATTGAAGTATAGTTGATTTACAATGCTGTGTTAGTTTCAGGTATACAGCAAAGTGATTCAATTATACATATGTATCTATTTTTTCAGATGTTTTTCTCTTATAGGTTATTGCAAAATATTGAGTATAGCTTCTTGACTATATAGTAGGTCCCTGTTGGTAAATTATTTCATTTGTGCGAGTCTTATCTTCCTAAGAAACCAGAATCATTCTTAGGAGATTGGTCTTTATTCATCTCCCCCTTCTTTTTAAGGCTCAATTAGATATATGCTTTAGTTCTAGGTGAACTCACCAAG